ACGAAAGCCAACTGTTGCGTCGTCTACGTCGCCTCATGTCGCCCTGTGTCAGTTGCATTTGAACACACTACACGGACTACATCCGACGGCCAAGTAGCACGTACGTTCTGCGCCTGCGTGAGAGAGAGCGGAGTGAGAGAGTGGTACATCCTGTCAGCCGAGGGGTTTCCTATCTGTGCAGCCGAGCACCGCAGCACCTCCACGGACTATTACATCCAGACGGTCCCGGTGTTTCCTCCGCAGGCTCCACTTCACTCAGCTGCCCGATAAACCCGCTGCTTCTTCCCACTTTATCACCGGTTTCACTACAGGCAGATTCACTTGCTACAGGGGCGAGGAAATAAAACCTGAACAGCCAATCAGAGTGATCTCTCTCACTGATGAGCTCCGCTGCCAATTCAACATGGTCAATTGGCCGAAAAGCCGCCGATGCCAAAGTGCCGATGGTGCAGGACACACTGCAAAAACTAGGCCGACAGACACTCAATGACAGCCCGACTTTGGTCGACGGCCGACCGTCAGCTTGGTGTGTCAGGGCCTTAAGGTCCGTCTTCACCATGTTCTTTTGCCTAACCCTAACCACAGTGACCTCCCTCGTCTAAACCTGACCTCTGTAACTTAACGTGAAGTACATGACATCATTTGCGGGGCAATCATTCGTACCGACCAGGACAGGTCCTCCGAGATGTAGGTCCCCAGGAACTTTAAGGTGGGAGACCCTCTCCACCAGGTCCCCATTGAGGGTCTCCACCTTCAAGTTCCTTTCCCCTAAAGACAGGTGTTCAGAACCGAGTGAACTTTAAGTCAGTTTAAGGTCCGTCTTCACCATGTTCCTTTGCCTAATCCTAACCACAGTGACCTCCCTTGTCTAAACCTGACCTCTGTAACTTATCGTGAAGTACGTGACATCATTTGTGGGGCTATCATTTGTACCGACCAGGACAAAGGGACCTGGGTTCCTCCTGGTGCAGAGGGCCCTGGGTTCCTCCTGGTGCAGAGGGCCCTGGGTTCCTCCTGGTGCAGAGGGCCCTGGGTTCCTCCTGGTGCAGGACCCAGCCTCATGTGTCCAGAGTGTGTAGGCAGTTGCTGGATGATGCCACTGACTGAACTTCTCATTCTCCTGACCTAAAATTTCAGCTTGAATAATTTGTTCAACAACATCTCGTGTGTCCAGCTGTCAGTGTAAATAACCTCAGTGTCGTTTGAAGTCTTAATTATAGAAGTCTGTATTTCGTCCCTGAGATGATGTGTAACTGTGCGTCACAGTGAACCTGGAGGAGACCTGCAGTATCTGCTCCCTCCCTCTCTCTCTCTTATATAATCCCTGAAGAAGAAAGTGAAGCGAAGTGTTTCTCTGAGCCTCTTCAACTATTCTACGAGTCTCTGTCGGCCTGTTTGAAGCTCTTATATAACTGACTCTGCAGTGCTGCACACACACATCTTCAACACGGCTCTGCCTGATAACGTCCTCTCATGTTTCGGTTCGACACCTGAACCTCCATAAATACACATTTAATTCTAAAGTGTCAGAGCTTCAGTCCCTGAGATTTGACACAGACAGACACATCAGAGCAACTGAAATCTGAGGATGTTTCCTGTTTCCTGTGACATGTTGGCTGTGTTTACATCTACAGATAATTCTAGCAGGGCTAAAATAAACTGATGAAGAAGCCTGGCTGTCGTTTTAAATTCCCTGAAACATCTGACTGATGTCTCTGCAGAGCTCGGCGTTATAACACAGGGAGGGAATAAAAACTAACTCCAGGGCACAGGAGTGGTCAACAGATTCTCACTGTGACCTCGTCACATGTCCACGTTTGGTCATGGACTTTCCACGTCCACATATGACGTCCAAGGTACCCTGGGTGTGTTGGCTGTTGACGTTCTGGGACGCCATGTCAAGGTTTCTTCTTTGAAGATACAGGAAATTTAACATTTACGTACAGTCTCTGTCAAAACAAACCCACTACGTCGCCACAACACCGTGAATTAACGTTTTTTTCCTTCAACAAAAAAAACAAATGGTTGGGTTTCGGAACAAAGAACAGGGTTCAGCTTTAGAATCTTATGGGACATGAACACCGCTCTCTCAGGTGAAAGTCCGTGTTTGTTGGACCCATCCACCACCCCTCGCCCCTCTCTGGTTTTCACCGCCATAACTTTCGTCCTTGTCCCACCGCATTTCCTCCTGACACCACTGGGCTCCGTTAAACTGTAAGGCCTCATTTACACCGCAAGCAATGCGTTCGTGAAGTGGTTGCAAAGCGGTCCACGAGCGTAGCAGGAGCACACGTGTATTCACACCAAAACCAAACAGACGCTGCTGTCCCGTCAAAATATACACCACACCCGAACAGTTGGTGGCGGTAGTGCACTGTGTTTCCAAATCTCCAATAAACCCCAAAGAAGAAGTGAGTTTGGACCCAAAGCCCAGGGTGGACAGGTCAACATGCTTTTTGACGACCTTGATTAATCTGTAGTCGTCCATCTCCAAACATGAAACGTGGCTGTCCGGTCTCGTTTGGTCAACTGGGAGATGTCTACAGTGGCAGAGAAAACGTGTGTTTGCGTGTGTGGTGACCTCTCTCGGCCACCATAGATGTCAATGTTTTGTTGAATACAGCGACCATTCGCTCTCGACTCGCGCAAAAATTAAGATGTCTCTTCTATTTTCGTGCTTGCTCGCGAAAGCAGCGCGACTTGAGCAGCGCATAGAACAGATGAGGTGTGAATGTTCTAACCTGTTAATATGCTCGCCGAAATGAAAATGCGAGTAAAGAGCGACCGTTTGCAAGCACTACGCGAACGCATCGCTTGCGATGTAAATGAGACCTAACCGCAACCTGCCGCATATCATGCCAACGTAAAAGGACACATTTTTTTGTTGGTTTCTGACGCTGCAAGTCACTGCCCAAGAGACAGAGCTCCTGGAATTACAGGCAACAGAACAAGAATACAAAATAAAAATACACCGCTCTAAAACAAGCAATATGTAACACAAAATGAGATTACTACAAAAAATAGCCAATAAGGCTGTTAATATACGCTACACAAAACACATAAAAACAGAGGTGATTACAGCATAAACTCACTCTGACATTGGCATATGGATGATTGTGTAAAAATCCTGCAGCAGAGCTTTGAAACGTCTTCGAGGAACCAATTAGTGAAACTTTAAGGAGCTGCAGACAGAAATGCTCGTTAGCATGAATCTCAGCATCATAAAGTTAAAGAACAGGCTGCTGCTGACATTTTAAGGTGAGTTCAGGAGCGTCAGAAAAAACAGAACATTAAGAAAAATGAGACGTATTTTCACCGTTAATGAATTAGCGCAGTAACGGACTCACAGCGATGTGGTCTGCCCCCTGGTGGCTGTTACGGAGTTACGAGAAGTTTCATGTTCACATCAGACATTCATCAAACAAACTGAGTGATAACGTGTGTAGTTCAGTTCCTCTCTGGCCTGTAGTGTTATCCATCCTGGGTTTGTGTTGCCTAGCAACCGCTCAGCAATGAGAGATGTGATGAGAGTTTGCTGCATTTCCATTTTTACCAGCGAGTGGTGCAGTGTGTCTGTATCACACCTGGTGTTCAGTCACACCTGAGATTATTCCTGCAGGGAGCCAATCACAGAGCACACCTGCTTTTACATCTCATCCTGAATAAATAATAAAGTTTACTGACACACACCATCGTTCACACTGACCAGCTTAAACCCTGCAGTTAAAATCCTGTTTATCATTAATGTAAGGAGAATGTTTCACCTCTGTGCATCCAGGTCAAATTGAATATAACTTTATTATCCAAAGACATAAATTCATTAGCCGGAGGTAAAATAAATAAATAAATAAAAATAATCAATACAAAAATACATGAAATAAAACCACAAAGAAAACAGTTTGTAAAAGGAATGATATGAAATTAAAAATAATAAAAAATTAAGAAATTTCTGACCTTTTGCAACAAATAATTAAAAGAGAAAATAATCACCAAATAGCTTTTATTAAAACTATATTTTTACTCAACTTATTGTTTTATCCTTATTTTATTCTTTTTTACTTTATTATATATTTTTTTATTTAGTTTTTTATTTTATTGTTTTTGTGTGTTTTTAAAAAATTCATCATGTTTATTGATTTTATTTCCTTTTTTTGTTGTGTTTCCTAATTTTTATATTTTTTTATTTTATTATCTTATGATTTAATCACGTGTTCTTCATTTTTTATATTTTTAATTATTATTCTGTATAATTTTATTGTTTTATAAATTGTTTTCTTATTTTATTGTTTAAATTTTTTTTATCGTGTTTTAATATTTGTCGTATGTTTGTATTTTTTTAGTTTTTTTAATTTATTGTTTTTTAAATTTTGTGTTTTCTTATTTTATCTTTTTTTGTTTTTTAATGTTATTGTTCTTTTATATCGTCATGTTTTCCTTTTGTGTGTTTTAAAAATGTTCATGTCATCTTACATTGTGTTATCATTAGCATCTGTTATTGTTTATCCAATTGTATGTTCATGTCCTCGTCCTATTTGTGAGTTATAATTTTTTTTATTAATTATTCTTTACTTTTATATAAACTTTATTTGTTCAGTGATGATTGTGTGTTTAAAGCTGCTCTTTGTCTCTTTTCATAATGTTCAATGAAAAGACGTCTTTTTTTAATAATTTCCAGACATTTCACCGACCACAGAAATAATGATTAATAATGATAATGATCAGCTGATCAGCTCCAGGTGAAGGAAATAATGAGCTGCAGTGTGAGAGCTGCTCAGAGACAATAACACACCTGAGCCTGTGACAGGAAACGGTTAATGAATCACGTCACAGAGGCTCATTGTGTATTCATGTCATGGCCTCTGTATCTGTGTCTGTCTGTAACATGTAGTGACGTCGCTCTGCATCACACCGTGAGAGGAGCTGATGCTGAGGAGGAAATATAGGACAACAGGAGGAGGAGGAGGAGGAGGAGGAAGAGGAGGGTCTGCAGATAACAAATCATAAAGAGACCCAACAGAGAGCTGCAGCAGCCTGAGCTGCACCATTTGCATCCAGCACCAGGTATTTATTGACTCTGTGTGTGTGTGTGTGTGTGTGTGTGTGTGTGTTTGACTTGTGTTGCTGCAGCAGAGACTTGATTTGAAACCAGAGGACAAACACAAAGGAAGGTCACTGAGAGACAGGAGATGTTAGAGCTGCACGGCTGCACACAGATATCAGCTCAGCTTCAGGGAACACATGAACATGTTGCAGAGGAGACAGAGAGCAGTGCGATGCTGCCTTCATGTCCTGCTCTGTCAGTCTCTATAGATCATGATCAACATGACAAGTCACAGGTGCTCAGACAAACATGGACGCCTCACGTCTGTCAGAGTGCATCATGTCAGGTAATTAGACCCAAATTTAACAAGATATACAAACAGTATTTTTAATCATCACGCAGCTAAAACGACAACATACCTGAGATCCACGCTTTGATTGTGACTTCCTTCAGCTCCACGTGACATGAATGCAGCATGAGTACAGAGCTGCTGGAGGCGGGACGCTGCTGAGAGAAGTTTGCCTTCAGGGCTTTCTGACAGAAAGCGGTTCGGTTTAGAAGAAAGATCATAGATTGGGTTAAAGTAAAATATTTCTGTCAGAGAGCCCTGAAGGCAAACTTCTCTTGTGCAGTCAGGGTGTTGTTAGCTTAGCTTAGCATAAAGACTGGAAGCGGGGGGAAACTGTTAGCCGGTCTCTGTCGAAGATGTTACATGATGCATCTTTGTTTATTTAACCTGCATTAGGAGAAATATATTTAACGGCTATGTGTGATTTTAGGGTGATTTATGTGCTGTAACAGATTGTTACTGAGTTTGTTTTTCATTCTGGTGCATCAGTGCAGCGCTCTGCTTCCTCGATTCGCTGGCAGCTGGTTTCTTTGACTTAGCATTTGTAATAAAACATAGAAAAGCATGGTGCACTGAATCAGGCTGCGTAAAATGGAGGAGGTTGCATGCATATACAATATGTCATCGTAATCAATCACAGACAGAAAAGTGGTCTCCACAAGTTTTTCCTTAGCACTGAAAGTAGAACAAGACTTATTCCTAAAATAAAAGCCGATCTTCACTTTAAGCTTCCTGACCTGAGCAGCAATATGTGCATTAAATGAAAGCTTGTCATCTATCAGTGTACCCAGATACTTGTATGAGGACACTCTTTCAATGGATTTACCGTCAGACGTGAGCGAGCTTTTGAGAAGTCCATAAACTTTGTTTTCTGAGCATTTAAAATCAATGTTAAACTCAGCAGAGCAGTTTGTAATGACTGAAATGCAGTCTGAAGGTTTTGCACCACTCCCATTATGGAGGGCGCATGCGTGTAAATGACAGTGTCATCTGCATAGAAATATATTTTTGAATGTCTTTGCCCAGATCATTTATGAAAATAGGAAACAAAATAGGCCCCAAAATGGAACCCCGGGGGACACCTTTAGTTATCTCAAGAAATTCAAGATTTATGGCCTTCTGCATTAACATACTGAGTACAATCTGTAAAACAGTTGAGTTTCCTGTAGAATCCTCTCTAAATTCACCTTTGCTTTTCGTCGCCTTTCTGCTGCCTGCCATCTTTCTGTCGTTATGCACCTCGCAGTTCTTCATCAGTCTCGTTCATTTCTGTCGTATTGTTCTTCCTTTGTTTCTCCTCCTGGTGGCGGAACCAGAAACTTTGATTTAGTTTTTTATCTTTAGAAGAAAGCAAAGTTGATGGACCGTAGGCCGTCCACGTAATCCTCCTCCTGGAGGCCTTTATGCAGCAGGGGGGTTCGGGGTGGGGGTGGGGGGTGGGGGAGTAAATTTAGATTTAGATTCTGATTTACAGTGGTGACCTGACTGAGAGGCAACAGTAATAAAAGGTGTGAAAAGACTGGAGGCAGCTTATTCCTCAGAAACAAATGATGGATTAAACATCATCCAGTGACGCGCTGCGTTTATTTGATTGGGTTTCCTTTTAGTGAAACACTCGGAGTTCCCCCGAGGAAACAGTGACCGTGTGTATTTCCAGGGCTTTTATTGTGAAAGGTAAGAGCAGAAGGAAGGGCTCCACATGAAAACGGACAAACAAGGACCTTCAGTATAAAATATGGTTTAAAAACAAAACGAAAACAGCACGTTGAAGTCATCGTAGCTAAAAATGAGTAAAACCTTAAATATTAAATCATAAAATCAGGTAAGATCCAACATTTATAAGGAACTGAAGAGTAAAGAAAGAGACTTTCAGGTGTGTATCAGGTCGGTCAGAGCTTATTAAAGGCTACAGTGAACAGCTGTTGTCAGTGTTCCAGCGCTGTAGTTTTCTCTGTGGATCAGTGTACAGTGAACACACCACAGAGTGTCATGACCCGGGTTTCATATCTTGTCATCCTATGGGCTTTGTTTCTGTTTGTGTTCCTTGGTTCATGTTGTTCATTCATGTTTAATCTACTTCCTGTTTTATTTTGTAGTTTATCCCCTCATGTGTCATGTCTGGTTTTACTTCCTGTCTTCGTGTGTTTCCTGCCACACCTGTTTTGTTAGTCCGTCCCTGTTCTGAGTTCTGAGACCCTGAGTCTTCCCTTCACACATTCAGGTGCTCCTCAGCTGGGAGGTTGCTCTTTTGACTTCAGTGTGTTCACTCAGCCATGTTCCTGTGTGTATGACGTCAAAGTTGGCAACTCGTGGACTAAAAGTTTTAGACAGTAATGTTTGTGGCTGAAACAGCTGCATGACCATTGTCATCATACCTACATGTCAGTCCACAGTCAGCCCCCGTCACTCTGAGGGTCTGGAAGCAAAAACAAAATGCTGAGTCAGCGTTGAGCTTGCTGTGAAGGGTTTAAAGTTTCAAAGTAGGCGCTGAAGGTTTGGGTAACATCTCGTACTCATAAGGTGAATCATGTCTTCATGTCTGATGAATCATAAAGTGGATTATTCTTATATTTGACCTCATTCATTCATTACAACATGACGTTGTAACAGCGTTTAAAACACCTCAGTGTTGGTGGGTTTGTAGTATACTGGTGGTGGGCGTGGTTTGTAGGAGCCTGTCCTGTAGCCTCTCAACCAGTGGTTCTCAACTGGTGGGTCGGGACCCAAAAGTGGATCGCGGGGACATTTTGACAGGGTCGCGGATTCACAAATCTTTTGTGAAGTATTGTAACTTTTTTTCTTAAAAAAATTATGTTTTTCTAAAAATTATATGACTTTTTCTTAAAGCTTTACGATTTTTGTCTCCAAATTTAATGATTTTTTTCTCAATATTTTGACTTTTTTTCTGAAAATTTAGGATTTTTCCTTGAAATCTTAGTTTTTTCTCAAAATTTTATGACTTTTTCTAAAAAAAATTATGTTTTTCTAAAAATTGTATGACCTTTTCTTTAAGTTTTATGATTTTTGTCTCAAAGTTTTGACTTTTTTTCTGAAATTTTCCTTGAAATCTTACTTTATTCTCAAAATTTTACGAGTTTTTTCTAAAAATTCTTGACTTTTTCCTAAAAAATGTACAACTTTTTTGCAAAATACTGCAACTTTGTTCATGTAATTTTACAGCTTTTTTCTAGAAATATTTTCTAGAAATCTCAAAATGTTAGTCTGTATATTACATACAATAGTCAATGCAGAGATGATGAATAGACACGAATATGCGCCAAAAGACTATTGTATTTCATGAAAAAAGTCATAAAATCTCAAGGAAGTGTCTGTGAAATAGATTTTAGTGGAGAGTCAAAAATTTGGATCACGACTTAATGACTGAGGAAAAATGTGGGTCCTGCAGATAGACCTGTTGAGAACCACGGCTCTAAACACAATGTGTCCGAGTCGTTCTGGTTCGAGAGCTTGTTCACAGGTCAGTTTTCCAGGTCAGAAAGAAATTGAGCAGTCATGCTCAGTCAGCTCGGCTGGATTTTAATAAACACACACTGACGCTGCAGTTTCCTGTTTGCTGAGATTTGCAGGTGTGCACAGGCGCAGTTGGCCTCGTGAGGCTCTGTGGCTCCGTACTGATTATTAGAGGTCCTCGTCAGGGAGTCGTAAACACACTGTGGGTCGTATTTTTGTGTTGACATAAAAGCTCCTGGTTGAATCATCAGAACAGAACCATAACGTGAACAGCTGGGTAAGAAAATATCTGCTTCTCTGGTCAAAAGCTACAAGAAAATAGTCAAAACTACAGGAAGTGTATGGACTCCAACTCCCAGGGTGCATTTCTCCAGCAAACATCCAATCACAGAGCTTCATAGTAATGGTGATCTGAAGCAGAAGATGTCACTGCCGAGAAATCTGATAAAACATCCAGCAGGCTTCGTCTCCATGGCAGCAGCTGCAGCAGCTGAGGCTCATGGGTAATGTAGTGTTTTAGGGACAGAATCAAAAGGCTGATTCATTAGAGACAAAGTGTGAACCTGTGTGTGCTCAGATCAGGGCAGCAGTATCGACCTGTGTCATCCAGTATCGGTGGAGCAGTGCTGTCGCAGTTTTCTAACACCACCTCCTCCTCCTCCTCCTCCTCCTCCTCCTCCCCCTCCTCCTCCTCCTCCTCCTCCTCCTCCCCCTCCTCCTCCTCCTCCTCCTCCTCCTCCTCCTCCCCTCTGTTTCCCTCCAGTCGTGTCTCAGCTCCAGCAGGATGAAGGGGCTGCAGCGGCTCAGCCTGCCCGGAGCGTGAGGAGCCTTCCTGGGCTCCATCTGCCTCGTCCTCCCCCCTCCTCACCGCTCTGTGTGGAGCTCTGATCCTTCATCTGTCCGTCCGTCTGTCTGCAGCATCTCTCCATCATCAGCTGTAATCATGGATGGACTCCGCCTGCCGCCCGTCATCGAGGAGGTCCTTGATCCATCCGGTCAGTGTTTACATGCAGACACATCTGTGTGATGATGAAGGGTTAATCTGATTCTGTCTATCATTTTTGTGTAAATATCAGTCAGCTGTTCGACATGTGATCACATGACAACTGACACAAATGATCTGAACTAAAACGTCTCACATTCATCATAAATGATTCAGAACAAGTCACAACTCTGCAGCTGAGTTTCTACTGTGATGTATTCTGACTGTTAAAACTTCCTGCACGTCTTTCACAATAAAAGCCTTTAAAGGAGCAGCAGGGGACGCTCAGTCCGTCATGTCCTCTCTGCCTCCGTCTGTCTTATGTCTCAATATTCTGACAAATATCATTTAGGCCAGAAGGAAACGTCCTCAAAGACAAACAGAAATAGCTCCCACAGCTCCCCACCTGTTCAGCTGCTGGAATCTGCCGGATGTCGCAAAATGCGTCATCAGTGAAGCAAAATGACGCATTTTGCGACATCCGGTGCTGCCAGCACCCAAATTTATGTTTCCTAGGATGGCGAAGGCATGACCTGCTCTTCTCTTCCTTACTCTGCCTCTGATTGGCTCACTCTGACATTCTTACTGTAACCAATCTCAGTCCTCTGAGTTAAACCTAACCGACCTAACCAACGAAGTCACATGTGCTAGTGCCAATCACAGGGAAAGTAGGTATCTTGGAAATGCAAATTCTCTGCCAGCACAGGGGGCGCCGTAACACGGTTCATTTGCATACGTTCCTCACGCCGCCGTGACTCAGACCTGGTTGAAAATCAGCAAAATGTTCCTTCAAGGTTTGTACTTTCTCAAATGAAAGAGCACGTAAAGACTGGAGGGTGGAGTTAGTGGTTCTATAATGGACTCAGTGCGTGACAGTATTGCTTCCTGTGAGTCTCTGGAAGACTCTTAATTTGAAACATCTGTACAGGAAGCAGATGTGAACGTGAGTTTATTTGACAGTGAAGTCACAGTGATCGAAGAAATTACAGATCAGAGGTGACTGGGCGGAAATAAAGTGTTTTCACTTGTCTGGCATTTAAATAATATTTTTTAGCAAGATTTAGTTGGACATTTTATCAATATTCTTTACACATTTTTATTAACATTTTTGGACATTTTATTTATATAAGACATTTTATCAACATTTTTCTGACATTTTATCAACATTTTTCAGATATTTTATTCATATTTTTGGGAAATTTTATCAATATTTTTTCCTGATATTTTATGAACATTTTGGACATTTTATCAATATTTTTTTCTGATATTTTCTTCATATTTTTTGGACATTCTTATCAATATTTTTGGACATTTTATCAATATTTTTCTGATATTTTATTCATATTTGTCGGACATTTTATCATCACTTTTTTGGACATTTTATGAACATTTTTCTGATATTTTATTCATATTTGTCGGACATTTTATCATCACTTTTTTGGACATTTTATGAACATTTTTCTAACATCTTTTTTAACATTTTTTAGACATTTTAATAATATTTTCTTATGTTTTATTTTTCAGGAATCCAGTTCCTTTTATAAACCAAACTGACTGATCTCCAGTCTGAGTTTTATCTCCCAGTTTGTGTATTTTCCCAAAATATCCAGCTGCTCCTCTGATGTCAGACAGAAATATAGAAGTTTATTTATGACAATTCCGCAGCTTCATACTGTGTGTGTGTGTGTGTGTGTGTGTGTGTGTGTGTGTTCACAGATTTATATTTGTGACTAAAGTATCATTCAGATATCAGAGTATTAAGACGTGTTGGTGTCTGTAAACACAGTCAGTGAGTCAGCTGCAGTTCATGAACCCTCAATGATTCACAACACGTTAATAATTTCCTGTGATTGTGTGTCGTCATCAGATCACGTGTGGTTTGAGTTTATAAACTGTGTGAGAGAGAAAAGATTTGAAACAGAGAGAGAGGTTGTAAACAGATGACAGGAGGAAGATGATGATGATGATGATGATCGAGTGATAACAGAATGATGTCTTTCACCAAGATGCTGTCACTCTCAGTACGTGATTGGCTGCCTGCCAGGAGGCCAAAAACCAATCAATGAGCTGAAAATATCAAACCTGCAAGATGTCACTGAGCAGCACCACCGTCACCCCCACCGCTGCTGCTGCTGCTGCTGCTGCTACAACATGTACTGTACATATATAACACACATATACATGAAACAGCAGTCCCCTGTCCTTTGTCAGATAATGTCCTGTTTAACGTTAGCTTGGCCGTCAGCGGCTATCGCTATCTCTGGATGGTGGCGTGAGAGGTGAGCCCTCATGGTATTTTACTCTCTTATCACATCACATCACACTGCTGTAAATCACATGTGTCATATCCAAGTCCTTCTTTAAAGTCCAGATGTTTGATTTAAACGCTGATGGCATATTTCTGATTTCTGTCTCCGGTGCCTCCATCTTAAATATTTTTTGGGGGGGCTTTTTTCGCCTTTAATGGACAGGACAGAGCGAAGAGTGTGAAGTGGGGAGAGAGAGTGGGGGGGCGACATGCAGCAAAGGGTTGCAAGCCAGAGTCAAACTCGCGACCGCTGCAGCGAGGCATCACCTCTATACATGGGGCACCGGCACTATCCACTAAGCTACCGACGCCCCCGGTGCCTCCATCTTTGTTTTGATGAACTTCCTGCCAAATGCTAGCCTGGAAATCCAGACCCAAATCTGGAAAGATTTAGGGTCTGGCTATGAGTAATGCAAATGGCCCAACTAGAGGGGCGGCACCAAGCATGCATTTGAAAATATCACTGCACGCAATTGGATAACACTACGACCAATCAAAACAACACACGGGGTGACGTATCCAGAGCTTAGCTACCAGCGGAGCTAACTGGTAGAGTAGACTCTTGAAGTATCCAGTCAGCAAAACAGCAAAAACGTCATTCTTGCAAAGGAAAGATTTGAGCACCGTCTTCTGTTCCTCTTTTAGAGAAAAAGCCAAGTCTAACTCGTTCATTGTAGCGGCCAAAGCTGTTTTAAACAACTGGTGTTCATCCGTAGCCATCTTGCAATGTTTACTGACTTTACTGATTCCAGACTTTGTCGTCGCAGCGCTGTCACCATCTGTTTAGCTCGCCTCTGGTCCGCCTATATCAGATACACCAATGTGATTGGTGCAGCTCGGCTCCAGCGGCATGGGTAATGAGCATCATTACTGATTGCCAGAGTGACTCGCTCAGCAAATTCAAATTGTGCTCTCGCAAGAACTCTGGATTTCCAGGGCAGCCAAATGGCGCTGACTGAGACCTCTGCTGACCTCGCCCCCCAAAAAAACCCCATCAGCACCATCTAGTGGAGCGAAAAAGCAACTGATTTTATTATTCTAGGATCAAAAGTTGTATTTAAATGTGTATTAGCAAAAATGAATGATGTAACAGATCGATACTTGGCGTCTATGTATCGATTCAATATGGCCACGCAAAATATCGTGATATGGATGTTTTCCCTACTAAACAGTGTTAAAGAAATCTGTGAAAAGCTTAAAACATAAAGAAAATATTCTCATGTTCATCTTCAGGGGACTTTTCATCCCATTAATAAATCTTGTGACTGATTTCATGTCTGCATTAACAAGCTTTGCCCTTACATGTGTGTTTGTTTATATTATTGCAAAATATTCCTCCACCCTCATGTCACAGCTGGTTGTGATTCTCCGTCATCACCATCAGATGGAGCCACTTCACAAAAGACAAAGACAAATTTTAAACTTAGTGTGTTTTGTACCTGATGGAGCTGCTGCCAGCTGAAGGTGGAGTTTTAGCTGAATCATGTCTTTGATACAAACAGATGTTAACGCTGAGCTCTTCCTCTCTCTCTCTCTGTGTGATGAAGACGAGCTGTGCGAGCTGAAGGTGGAGAAGCCGATCATGTTGGCAGAAACTCTGACGGCCAAAGAGAGGGAGTCCATGGAGGAGAAGGAGGAGACGGTGGGAGACGGAGAGAAAGGCCAGCAGGAGGAAGAGAAGGAGGTGACGGAGGAGAAGGAGGAAGAAGAGCCAGGAGGAGGAGGAGGAGGAGGAGGAGAAGGGAAGGATGAAGAGGAGGAGCTGGAGGAGCTGAGAGCTCAGGTGTTTCAGCTGCTGCTGGAGGTGGAGGAGGCCAGAGAGGTTTCACAAAGACATGAGGAGAGTTTCCTGGAGCTGCAGGGTCAGAGACCAACCAGATATTAATGTTCATATCTTTAATGTGTAAAAACACAGGAAATGTCCTGCTCCTCCTCTTCATCATCTTCGTCTGTTTCTTCTTCTCTGATCTCAGGTCTATTAGAGGACGAGCGACTGGCGAGCGCTCATCAGGCGGAGAGTTTCACCAGACAGATCCAGAGACTGCAAGGTACACACAGCTTTTTAATGTCTGTGTTTAACCCACCTGTTTCACTGCAGGTGGACATCATTAAATATTATCTTTTCAAAATGACCTCACCGTTCAAAACTCTTCCAGCTTTCAAAAAATGTCCTTATTTTCCAAAATGTCTTCACTTTAAATGAAAGTCCGACTTTTCAAAATAATCCTGACTTTCAATAACACATTATTGTTTTCTAAAAATGTCTTCGCTCCCAGAATGACATCAAAACTGTCCTCACAATTTTCGGACATCTTCAGTTTTCTAAAGTGTCCTTGTCGTCAGATTTTTATGAAAAACGACATCAGTTTTGTCTCATGTTTCTTCCCAAAAACTCATCTCTGAAACAACCCCAGTTTCTGATGTGTCCTCGTCTTTCAGATGCCCTCTTTGTCCAATATTGTCCTGACTGTCCAAAAATGTTCCATGTAGTTACACCTAGCCGGCTAACCTGAGCTCAGGTCACATTAGCTTGTTGGCTGTCCTGCATCTCCCTCAGTAGACAGTACCTTGTACCATTACATCATACTGTTGGCTACATCAGTGTCATGGATCACGTTAGCAAACCACTGTGACAAGCAGGCACGCTAAGGTTAGCCAGCTAGCTGTAATCAAGCTATGCTGGCATTGGTTGCTCTTTAACGTTAGCTTATAAAGAAATTTGTGAACAGCAGGCTGGCTAATTTTCCAGTAAGATCAGCCCTGGAGTCTGGACAAATTAAATGATATTAATCACCCAAGACAGTATTTTGCAATGTTAGTAATTATTCCATGTTAGCCTGTAAGCTAATGTTAGCAAACATTAGCCTGTTAAAACCACAACATCACAATATGAGTGTCACAAATCACATACTTCTGTTAGTACACTTCGATGTAGAACACCATATAAACTACATACTTCTTGTGTGGTGCACAAATGTCAACAGGGTAGTGTCGCTTTAAATCACGCACTGCCGTTTTGCACTTAGCAGAAGTGACAACAGCCTTTTTCTTTATATAACAGCCTCCGTCGTCCTCTTTTCAAACAGTGAATAGCAGACAGCATTATCACCAACATTTGACACTGTCTCCGCCCACACATAAAACAAACTTACGCTACAGTGTCAGTGCTGATTAAAATGTGCCGCAAGTTAGCTAGTGAGCACTCGCATTATTGTTTGCAGTAGCAAATCTATTCTACGACAGTTTTGGTACTTACTGCAAAAAACACGTACAACTAACAGGCTCCTTGTTGTCTCCAGCCGCCACATCAAAAGTTGTGAAGTTTGCCGCGTCACAAAGATGGCCGCCATTAAGGGTGAGAAGTGTCCGTCATTCCACACTCAACTTTTGGATCATTTTGAGCGCATCAGTAGTACGCTGCATTTTTCCGTACTATGCAGTGTGAAGGCACTTAGCGCACTTAAATATAAAGTGTTTAGTACAGAAATATATGACTTGAGACACACTGTACATTTCAAATGTTGGTGTTTCCTGTAACATCAGGATTTGTTTGCAGCACTCGGTGCACTGAATTGGATGGATTTACTGTTCATCAGACGAAAAATTAGAAAAGAATTAGCTCATTAGTGCAGCCTACGGACTCTCCGCCGATAGGACACCTCTTCCTCGAGAGGAGAGCGGGTGACGGCTTGGATCTTCGCTGCTGTAGCAACTTAAGCTAGCCCCAGCTCCGTGGTTCACAGTGACCTGGTGGTCTAACCTGTGTAACAGCAGCAACAGAAAGTTTGTCCGAGTTAAGATTGGGCGCTCAGTATTGCTCTGGCTGAACTGGAGTTGTTACAGGGTGCAATGTACAGGTCTGTCTGCAAAATGGAAACACAGCCAACCTGTGGACTCTGTCGTGGTGGGTGCCGCTCATTTGTTGACATTAGCAGACTCAATTTCTAACGTTACTTAGTGTTGCTGCCACTGTGTATGCTGTATCAGAGCTGAAGAGAGGCGAGACACTGAGGGAGGTGCATAACGTCACATTTTTTGGATTTTCCTGGAAAATTTGTCCTGAGTCCTTTATATAGAAATCAGTTCACCGGCTGTTAGAGGTGACAGAGAAAGTCAGGGAGTCAATAAAAACGATGAACGCCTGAAAAGTCACTGACATAACGTTCAAATGTCTTCACTTCCCCCAAGATTTTGCTCTCAAAACATGGTTTGACTTGTATATGTATGTCAAAGTAGGAAAACTTCCTTCTCCTCCTCCAGCTCAGCTCCGGTCGGTGCAGGAGGAGATGGACAGTCTGGAGGAGGAGAAGGAGAGCGAACTAGAGGAGGTGCAGGAGGAGCTCCGATCTGCTCAGGAGGAGGTGCTGATGCTGCAGCAGGCGGCTGAGGAGGCGGCAGCAGAGAGGGAGAACGATATTGCCTCCCTGCAGGAGGAGCTGTGTCGGCTGCGGGCCGAGCTGCAGCACCTCCATGCCACGGCGCAGGAGTACGAGCTGGAGATCACCACGCTGAGGGCGGAGATCAGCATGAAGAGCAACAACACAGGTGAGTCACAGACACATGGATCCACAGGTAGAGGGAAAATCAAAGTCTTTGGATAACTCTGTGTGTATGTGTGTGTGTTCAGGTGATGTGAGTCACTTGAAGGACGAGTTCATCTCTCTGACCGATGAACGTCAGTTTCTGGACGACGACAACAAAGACCTGAGCAGCAAAGTGGAGCAGCTACAGAAGAAACAAGACACGTGAGTGGTGCAGCCAGCTGTCAATCATCCTGCTGCTGTGTCATCATCCACAGATCAGTGACATCATCACAGTGGTTTTATTTTAACCAGCCGTTTATCTTCTTACCATCAGTTTTATATAACTGACGTTCACCACCGAGTGAAAACAGCCATCGACACAGTCTCATGACCTTCTTCTCCTTCTCCTCCTCCTGAACAGGTGTGATGACGTCTACCTGGCCGTCACTGACACTGAGCGTGAGCAGGTGAAGGCCGACTCTTACATCACTCTGTCTCAGTCCAGTCCTGAACAACAGGACAGACCCCCGGAGGATGAGGAGAAGGTCTGCAGCTCAGAGCTCAACATCCTGAAGGTCCAGCTGAGACGAGCGGAGGACACGGCTCACAGAGTCCAGACCGAGGTAACACACATCACCAAGACACCTGTTAACTTACACATGGAGGATTTTTATCTACGGAGACGTTTCACTGAATCAAAACTGTATCAGAACTGTCTGTCTGTTCGTTCGTCAGTGTGACAGTCTGAAGGTGGAGCTGGTGGACCTGCAGCAGCTGTGCGACAGCAGCCAGCGGGAGCGAGCGGCGCTGGAACAGGAGCTGCAGCGCTGCAAGGCCGAGCTACAGAAACTGGTGGGCAGGAAGTCACAGGTGAGAGGGCAAAGGTCAACGGTTTGTACCTGATGCCTCAAAATCTCTTTTATTGGATCAAACTTTCCTGATGAAGTTGGAGCATTAGTGCACTGGGTGTCAGGTGGAAATATAGCAAAGGGTTAAAACTTCATAAGATCCAACATGTGTGTCAGACTGAGGGTTAATGTGACTGTAAAATGATGATAAACTAAAGGTAAGTGAGACGCAGTGTCTGAACCTGTTTGAAGATCTTCTTTAAAGCCATGACGTTGTCCATGAAGTCTGTGTGCATGTTGGGTCGACGGCGGCTCGTCTCAAACTCTCTCTGGTTGTCTCATCTGTCTCATTCTGCTTCCTGGTCCGCAGCAGCTTCAGCTCTGCTCATGTCGCTGGTTTCTGAGCGTTTGGTTGTGAAGCTTCTTCTCAACATCCGTCTCTGCTGGGTAGTTTGTTTCTGTCAAAGCAGTCATCTGTCTGTTTCTGCTCAACCTCCCGCTTCCTCCTTCAGGAGGTGAGAGGTTTATTTAGTCGTCAGTCAGCTGATGAGAAAACAGGAAGCGTACTGACAGTCAGGGCCCATGTGATTGGCTGATAACACATCGTGTGAAACATCACTTCAGTCCAAACATTTGGATTCTGTTTGTCTCTCCAGAGGTGTGGACTGGATTCAACGACAGAGACGACTAGAAAGCAACTCGACCTGGACTTTAATACCCACGACTTGTGCCTTCATTGTGACTTGGATCCTAGTTTTTGTATCATCAAGACAAGACTTGGGATTGGGCTCTAGTCTGGGGACTTGTAGTTTTTTGACTTGACACCTGACGTAGGAGTGATCCCAGTGAGTCTGAGTCTGTAGACGAAAAGTTTTAGTCACATTTTAGTCATTTTTATCCTTCATAGGTATAGTCGATGAAAACATTTTCGTCATGATGTTTCTATCTGTTTTTTCTCTTTAAACTAATCCAGTGAGGTTAATTCATGGATCAGAAATCAGAGTCAAGGTAACAGGTTGTATAAGATGATTTCTCCAGCAGTGTGTGACAGGTTTAAGGGCTGATTTATGAGCACACTCTTAATGATCATCATTTGAAAAGCTCAGCATCTCTCTATTTAGGCTCTCAACAAATAATTAATGTGAGACAACTAGGATTTGTCCCCAGGTTCATTGTAAACTCTGACTTATCCATCTGACTGTGAAGTCCAGCGGCCGCTGGCTGCGAGTGGAGCTAGCTGCTAACAGCCACCGCTGCAACTAACAAACTCCACAAATCCATTCAGCAGCTCCACCATCCACAGTCAGACACACACGGCTGATTATTTACTGCTGAATTACAGCTCACACCAACTGAAACATCCTGGTACAGACTATTTACTGGAGTTTACCAGCCTGTCACTCATCAGGCATCTGAAGATCATTACATGCAATTACAAATAATTACAAACAAGCACCACGAACATTTTCATCATGTCTCGTCAATGAAAATAAAACATAGATTTCGTCATCGTCTGGTTTTCGTCATGGAAAAAGGTTGTGAACAAAAAATGTGCGTCAATGAAATGAACACTGAGTAATGCAGCAGCTAATGTGGAGCTAAAGACAAAAACAAAGTTGAAACTCGACGTGGGACTCTAGTGTCGAGGTTTAAAAGTCAATATGTCTCATGTGACTTTTACAGTTGGGTACTGTTCACAATTTCAGTTACCTGGAATTCAGTACCAGCAGCCAACAGTACCTTTTTTGTCATTTTTGAATGAGCTGTAGGACTGACAGTTGCCGAAATGCAGTTCTGCTCCTCTGCTCTCACAGAGCTAATCCTCCGTCTGCTTGTTTGTGTGTCTGCTCGTCTAGCAGTGAGTATGAGGCTCATACTAAGATAATATAGAAAAGAGAAAAGAATACAGACCAGAAGCCCGAACAGTCGCAGCAGATCATCGCTGCAGCATTTCGCTCGTTTGGGAAGCCGACACAGTGGTTCTCGGCTTCAGGGCCCTTCTACGTCCTGTCTGAAGTTGAACCTGGCGACTCTGTGGAGCTGACTTTCAAGCTTCAAGGCGCTTTGCGGTATTTCCACCTCATCTCAACCCGGCGTTCTCAAACAGATCTCAGGTGCCAACATTTGGTACCAAAAGATTAAACCCCAATTGGTACTCAGTAGTACAGTCGTATTTCTCTCCCCTTAACAGCCCAAACAAGCGGCAATGAAAGTCGAATGTTGCTGTGTCTCAGCCCAAAAGTTGCAGATGAACACACCACAGACACTACAGCTGACGACCAACCAGCTCGTACGCTCTGCTCTGGCATGAGAGGAAATAACTCTTCACACATGCTGAATCGGCCGCCAAAATCTGAAAGGGCTGACGAGGGTCAACGGTGTGGGATACACCAAACTAACTAGGGTGACCGATGCTCACTGATGGCCGACCGTCGGCTTGGTTTGTCAGGGCCCTAAAAGTACAGAGTTCGATGTTGAGAATTTTCTTCTTGACTTGTGACTTATTTGCAACTTACTTGTCGCCTACTTATTCTTGAACCTTGACTTGAGACTTGTCTGGGGACTTGGGACTTGCCTCAGTGAGATTTGACTTGATGTGGGACTGGAAGTGGAGCTTGGAACGAGACTTTAGTGTCAAGTCTTGAGACTCAACTTGGGATTTTTCCATCTTAATATGTGAGTGTTGACTTGAGACTTGTAAACGGTGACTTGTTACCACCTCTGCTCCTCTCCACGTTTCATTCACCCACATTCTTGTCCTCCATAGTTGTAGTTCACCTCAAGGTTTTACCCACACTGCAGTGCTGCTGATGGAGTCGATGGTGACGGCAGCGCTCTGACGTGTCAGCAGAGATCTTTAAATGACAAGATGCAGATGTTTCGACCTCTGGGGGGCGACAAACTCTCCATCTTGTCTTTAACCATCTTTGATGCCGTTCTCTAATCGCCTGCTCTGTTTCCTCCCCTCATCGATATGTTTTCATGTGATCGCCGTCTCTTTTGTTTCACATGAACTTGATCAAATTCTCTGTAAATTTGATGGTCTTTGATGCCTGCATGTCATTTCTGTTTTCTCTAGTTTTTGTTGGCCTCACGCTCGCCTCTCCTCCCGACACCTTCTGACTTTATTCTTCTGATTATTTTCTGGTTTGATTTTCTCTCCATGCCCCCCGACACTCCTCCTCCTTTTGTCTTCTCCCCAGAACTGCACTGGTGCGTCTGAGCCCCCTGTTCTCTCCATCCCCTTCATAGGAATGATTGTTATAGTGGCCTTGATTTGGTGCTGGTGGGAGGAGCTGGCGTCCTAGAAGGGACCAGGTATGGCCACGCCCTTCTTTCTCTACCAGACGCTCTGCTTCTGTTAGTATCAGAGAGTGGCTGAATCGCAGGGTGACTGCCTCTGTGTACAGCAGCTGTTTCTGTCCGTGCTCTGTTTGAATGGGACCGCTGTGAGTCATTTATAATTAAAGTAAAACTTCCACCACAGATTAATGGAACGCTCTTCGGTTAAAGGCCTCAGGGTGCTTTAAACAAAGTAGTTGATCCGATGTGTAATGCAGCTGAGTGTTTACAGAGATAGGTGGGATAAAAAACCTGCAGCCGTATCAACGCAGACATCTGGTGATTCTGCAAAACCCAAAATTATGTTCAATGTCATTGTTTTTTAAATTCTGGCTCTAGTGCATGGCAGCTACAGCGTGGCTACGGTTAAGGAAAAGATTCTAATAATAATCAGAGCATGTGAGTGGAGCTCCAGCAGAAGGATTTTAAAACAAGCACAAGCTGATTTTTTAAAATTTGTAGAATCTCCCGCTTCGGTTTTGCTCCGGTACTTCTCACACCATGAGTTCAAAGCATGCTCCACCCAGAATGCATCGGTGTATTGCTCACACGCTGTGAGCGGTTTGAGTGGGTCGGTCTGCGTTGGAGGTAACGAACAGCTCCATGTGCGAGGAGCAGAAACTCTCACACTCTCTGCTGTGAGGTTGAATACACATGTTGAACACGTCTCCATCCTCCATCAAACACCTGTAAAGCTGATTTTTGGAAGAATTTTGAAACCTGAGTTGTTTACAGTCATGTAACGTCCCAGCAGTCTTCTTCGCTGCCTTTATCGGTGCACTGCTGCGTTTCCTGGCGTCCACCAACTGTCCATCAGTGGAGCAGCATTAAGTCATCGACAGGACTGTGTTGCAGTTGACATCATCATTGTAAATATTTCACATATTTATTTATTTATTTCTAATGATCCATGTTGTCAGAGTGTCGGGAGTTAGAGATGAAGTCAGTGGTTCAGGACTCAGATGGTCTGAGGGAAGATACTCCTCCTCATCCTCTCTGTTTTGGCCCTCAGACGGCAGTTGTATTTTCTTTAGTGAGTTTTTCATATTTAATCACGTCAGTGGTTTTAAAATGCTCTCAACATGTTAGATCAGCATCTTTAAAAGTGTCCACTCACAGGGAATTAGCAGAGATGCTCAGAGTCTCTTCTTCATCTCTAAATAGCTCCTCTGACATCATTTCCTGTCCTCCTCAGCAGAGAGACACTGAAGGCTGGAACCTGGCGGTGGCAGCGGTTGCCGTGGCAGCCATTGTAGTTCTGGTTGTGCCCAGCTTCACCAGGGCCTGAGGACTACACAGGAAGTGACCTCACCAGGAACTCTGGGATTGTGGGATTGCCGTCACCCATCCAGCGCCGCCCTCATACATGTTGCTGTCCTGCTTGTCGCATCGCTGAGGCATTTTCACCAGAAGGCCTCCGACGCCAGTGAGTTCTGGAAGGAAAAGCAATAAGATTGTTGAATTTACTTAAAGACTCTGAACTCTTCCTGCAGGTCGTCGATCAAACATCCACCATCATGATCCAAGAGTCCAACTGGGAGCTCTGGTTTTGAATTAGTTTATTAGTTTTCCATTGATTTAAAAAAATGACCCGGGATGGATCATTATAAACTGTTTGTCTCCGTCCGTGGTGGAAGAAGTACTCTGATCTTTACCGAAATAAAAGTACTCATACCACAGTGTAAAAATACTTAGTTACAAATCCTGCATTCAAAAATGGTACGCAAAGTTTAGCAACAAAATGTACTTAAAGTTCTCAAAATGCAAAACAGCCCGTTTCAGAGTGTCATGTTATAATTATATATTTCATATTTTTCCAGTAATGCAGTATTTTACTGTCGCAGGTTGAGAAAGGGCCGATTCTGACGACTTCAAAGTACTATAATATATATTTAAAAACAGTCATATTTTATTTATTAATACGTGTTTTGTATGTAAAATTTGAACTTACAAAGTAACCTAAGTTATCAGCTAAATGTAGTGGAGTAAATAGAATAATATTTCCCTCGGAAATGTGTTGCAGTAGAAATATAAAGTAGCATAAAAAGTACCTCCAGATTGTGTTTGCGTACTTGAGTAAATGTACTTATTTATTTTCTTACACTGTTTACAGTACATGTGGTCCTGTGGTGTCGAATTAGAAACTGAAGATATGAAACACACAAAGCTGCTGATTTAATATTCAACATAAAAACTGTTCTCTCTCTAAATTCTTTAGAGCTGCAACTTCCGATCACTTTTATTTAAACTATTTACCAGTTAACTGATTAATCATTTGGTTTGTAAAATCAAAACTAAAACCATCTCTAAAGATCACTTCCAGAGAAAAGTAGCAAATGTTTCGTATGTTAATGATCTAATCTAATATTATTTTTGTCGATTGGCAAATTGTTTCAGCACTAAATTGTTTGCCTTATTTTTCCGCACTGAATTTAAACAATATTTTGCACTCGCTGAGTTGATGACGGAGATAACGGTAGCAGATTAATTTAGATTGTTTAGTGTTTTTAATTCATTAATTCTGCTTTAGTGGTTTAATGCTGAATATTATCTTATCACGTGTTTATCATTATTGTGGATTATTTAACAGATTTGTTTTGTAGCATGAGAAAAACAGCAAATTTAAGGAAATAATTATTATTTTGCCTTCCTATCCCTTTACAGATCAATGTAAAATGTCTGTATTTGTATGTTTATAGTACCAAACCAGTAGTGTGAACATCTACAGCAGTAAAATAGCACTTTTATAAACTTTAGAAAGGTATTTGCTGGAGCTGAATCATTCCGATGAGAGATTATTTGCGTCGACTGATTTCACTGTGCCAGTTTTAAGATCAGATTGTGCCTGAGTAGCTTTATTTTTGCACAGCAGGTGCAACTGTTGGTGAATGATTCTGGGGACAGATGCTCAACCAGTAGTTTATGTTTCAGAAAATGTATTCAGATTGCTTCTGTCACTGTAAATGTAAAATCTGTTTCTTAATTCTACAGATGATACTTTATTTGAGATCTGAAAAGATCAGCAAAAGTAACGCTTTTGATGACATTTTTAGATTGAAAAAGGATAATAGTTTCTCGTATTCAGCCCCATCCCAACAGGATTAATATCATATTTGAATATAATTACGTTGATTGTTCCTGATGCCCATTTAGCCACTGGAGAAATACAGGAGGTGGCTCTGGTGTGGCAGAGATGATTATATATAGTGAATGTCAGAGGACCATGGATAGAGCCTTGGAGAACACCAACCAAGACTGACTGAACTAAAATATTGTGATGTAGCACAAGTAGAGAACTGAAATTCTGTAAAATATGAGTGTCAGCACTGAACATGAGAAATGAGTTTAGGTAGCAAATCTGGATGTTGACATGTGGAGTGGTACATTGTATATTTATGTATTACATCGTGTATTATTTATGCTAATAGTAAATACCAGAGGACCAAAAATAGAGCCCTGTGGGACACCTTTACCAGTGGTTTTTTGATTTGGAACCACAAAACAATTCCTGCTCGGGCTCAAACCTAAAGATAGTCATAAAACCAATCAATAGACCATAAATAGTCCTAAAATGGATCGTTTTTTGTCTGTAGTGATGAGAAATAGAGAAATATATTCTGTCTGAACAGGGCTGTAGAGGGCGCTGCAGATCAGATCTGTATTCCTGCCTAGGTTTTAGTTGTTATTGTGCCGGGTCAGAATGAACACACTTCCATTTGTTCAGATTTTATGTTTTAATCTTTTTATTGGGGCCGATTAATTTCCCCCACCATCTTCTTTTGCAAAGTTTCAGTTTTTGAAGGGATCCTGATAGACGCCTGATTTATGTTTACATTTAAGTGGTGACCAAAATAATCATAGAAAATACAATCAGATGTTCAAATGACTGTGATCCTGTTTAGGTTGGAATTATGTGACCAATTACAACAACTTCAGAATAAAAGACATTCCAGTTTAAATACAAGCGCTAGCGATGAGACACTTTTGTGAATTTAACGAAACCTTCCCTGCTTGCTCTGCTCAGTGCGGACAAATAACTGAACCAATGTACTCAGCTGTGATGAACCGTGTACACGACAGGTGAAGTGGCATTAACCTGACAAAGCATAAATGTTGGAATCTAAAATAAAATAAGAATTATTTATCTAGTATTTGATGATTAAGTCACATATATATATTGTGGTTAATAGCAGGACATTGATTAGGATGTAACAGGTCCTGTATGTTTTCAATGATAAATAGCATGTGTCAGTAAGACCTTTATATCGTTTTTGCATGACAGTTAAACATGTAGTTACTTTAATGTGATTATAATGGTGGACTAACGGAAATGGATTCTGTAAATAACGTCACATCATGTTCAGTGTTAAAGAGGCGCCAAACCTCAAACTGTACATGATGAGGCAGCTGATGTTTATGTTGCAATAGTTTTTTTTGTAATATATGGAAGCCCACTTCCACCAGGTCAATAATAATAATTTAAAAACATCAAAAGGTTATTAAAAAAGTGATGTTCCGACATCAAGATTTTAAGCCATAAAGGAGAAAGTGGATTAAAACTTGTAATAATGAACAGAAAGTGTTCATGGTAAGACACAATCATCAGGCTAAATTCAGACTTTTAAAGTTACAGTGATGATAAAAGTCATATTTTGACATATTGAGTCAAAACTTTAAGATAAAAAGTAAAATGCAGACTCCAAATTTTGAGAAAATCAGTCAATATCTTGACTGAAGAAGTTGAAATTAAAAAGATAGTCAGCCAAACATTTTACCTGGATTTAGTAAATATTATTTGGATTTACTGAGTCAAACATTTGAATTAATATCTCATAGTTCCTTACCTAAATAAGAAAATTGAAATTTGTATTTTTTAAATACTTCTGTCTTTGTGAATCTTAACTTTGGTTTACTGTGAATATTTTATTAATGTTTGTCTAAACATTTACTCTAGTGATTTTGTGGTGTATCTGGGCTTCCGTAGTATTAACTCCATTTTGTTGTAGTCTTTCCTCGATGTGTCGCTGTACTCCGGAGTTGTGTTTTTATGTCAATAATGTGTCAAAACGTGATTTTGCATTTTATTCTTGCAGTCCAAAAACACCTGTGACATCCTGTAAAATGTTGTAAAATGTTAATGATAATACAAAAACTGAGTTTTGGTTGCAGGTGTGGAAGCTGACTGAAGAATTGTTAAGGAGCTGGTTGTTTTTGACACAAACTCTTCCTGATGCTGCATGCTAACGTCAGTCTGTACAAACTCTGTACTTATCTAGCGTTCTTTTTTTTATTAACACTTGGTAATGGTTTGTACTGTACTGTACATAGAATAGTTCCAGATTGATTCTTAGTCGCTTCAAAGAAAGCTATTTTTTCATACAGCTGATTAGACGGTAGTTCAGAGGTTCAGTCAAATGTGCAAAATAATGTAGCAGTAGATTTAGAGAAGGGGATGGATTGATTATTGGTTTACTGATTAACCGCTGATTCTTGATTTCTATTTAAAAAGTATTAATGCAGCTGATTGAGAACACATGATGTAAAAGTTGTTTTGTTTTTTTTAGTCCAGATCACTTCAAAGTCTGATGCAAAAATATTAAATAATTTGTGTGCCTTAACCTCGCACAGGAACACACAGCAAATCAAAGACAAAAGAGTTTTTAACGTTCACAGATTTCTTTGCCCATTTCTGACATCGAAATTTTAATTCTTTTGTATGCGAGAAGCAACAGACGCAAAATGATTGAACTTTCTGCATGATTTCGTCCTAATATTTGCATGTAAATTTGCACTTGGTGCGAAAAACTTTAAAAAACATTTAACAATACTGTCACAAAACCTCTCCTGATGGAAAATCCATCTGTGACAGTAAAATTTCGAAATAATCAATGTGAATATTCATTTATTCATCTTTCAGTCGATCTGTGGAATTCAAGAGCAACACAAACACAAGACTTTCTGCTGGTATCGCACGAATATCTACCACTGAAATTTGGATTTGGGGTATTTTTTTAAGACCACTAATGGTTTCAGAACTTCCTGAAACTTTTCTTGATGGAACTGTTAGGAGAAATGTTTCCCCAACTTTGGAAAACGTTCCCATGGTGTTCCATCAAACCACAAATGTCTGCGAGGCTCTTTGAAATCACCATCAATTTGATCCATCTCTATTTGTTTGCTTGTTCTCTCTTCTCTTTTTGAAGGAAATTAAAAATAATAAAATAAAAAGCAGATTATTTGGTTAAATCTGAATGCTGATATCAGAAACTTGTATCAATCCATCCTTAGCGATGTCTTTACAAATGTTCGGTAGATTAACAGTGTCTGGGAAAATGTTAGCTAGCTTAGCGGTGTCCGGACAAACATTAGCTAGCTGTAGACAGCTCAGTGTCGCATGTTAGATTTAGATAAATGTAGTAAATTTGCATGAATCTAGATGAGTAGTTAAAGACGCTGTAGCAGTTGTAGAGTTAGACAACGCTCACTGAATTTGTCATTGGTAGCATGAGCGCTGTAATCCAATTCTTCCAATAGTTACTTTAGACTGTTTTATTACTATTTTTGTAGTAAAAGGTTAAAAAGTCAGATGTTTTGAAATCTTTTTGTTGTCTGTCTTCTTTAGCATCACTTTTATCTCTATGTCCAGTACAGAGATAGTCTAGCTTAGTTTAATTTAGCTTAGCTTAGCTTAGCTTAGCTTAACTTAGCACAAAGTGGGGGGAACATGCTAGGTTAGCTACAAGTTTTTCCAACTGACATGTTATCTTGTCTCTGTGGGTAGCTGGTGTACAGCTAACATAATACTTACAGTGTCAGGTGCTTATAACGTTGGCTTGTTTAGGTCATGGTAGCTGTAAACTGTTAGCATATCCAATTTAATGCTAGCTATTTCTGGTTAGCTGTTGTGTAGCCAAACAAATTTTTATATTTGATGTTTTTTGTTCATAGCTAAGTGGAGTTACACCAAAAAAAAATGTTTAACTTGGCTTAGCACAAAAATAGAGGAAGTGGAAAACTGCCAGTCTAGCGAAATAAAGGTCACAAGGTCGCAGTTTGTAGTCATTGTGCTAAGCTAAGCTAACCACAGGCTGGACCTGTCTCTGTGCTCGGAGATACAACTGATATAAGAACGAGAGGATTTGACAAAATGTCTGACTGTTTTTAGACTCTTCAGATTACTGTTCTGCTTGAATGTGTAGGCTAACGGCTGGTTGTCTCTTGGCTTTGATGCTGCCGTCAGGTGTCAGGTGTGCTGTACGCACTTTGCTTTTAGTAGACGTCTAAACTTTTGAGTCAAAGTAAACCAGCATGTAGTCACATGGCTGCTGTTTGTTCTGCTCCTGTTTGAAATGATCTGTTCCTCTCTGTGTTTCTCCGTCTGATTCTGTAAACGATTGAACATTTAATTGTATCAGTGATGTTTCTGCACAACATTAATGTCTGAATGAGTTTGTATTTTGTTCAAAGGGCCTGTACATTTTGTAAATGACCTGACTAATAAAAAGTAGTTTATCCTTATCTTTAATGTCCCTTGTAGGTTTATGTTAGATATGTTTTATATATTCAGAAAATCTCATTATTGTAACAACTTGTATTTATTTATTTTTTATCTTATATGTAGAGAATTATCACAAAAGGTAAATCGACGATGTACGAATACGGTGTTCTTCACATTATGCTTAAGTGTTATTTCATGTATGTTCCATTACGCCACATTATATAATGTTTAACATGTAATGCGTTATGTCAAGTTACTTTACCTTATGCCATCTCACATTTCATGGTCTAATATCCTGTCATGTAATGTTATATTAGTTTATGTTACATTAAATGATGTTTTACATGTTATATTCTAGTTTAATATATTTTATATAATGTTTTTTGTTTTTACAACACGCTATCATCCCAAGTCGTCATGCATCGCTGCTTTGCCAGTGGACCTTGTCTACACATGACATGCTAGATATCGACGTCCCAGGATGCCACTACCAACTAGGGCTGCAACTAACAATTATTTTCATTGTTGACTAATCTGTTGATTATTTCCTTGATTAGTCGACTGATCATTTTATCGAAAAATGTGTTAAAATGTTGAAAAATGTCGGTCTGTCTCTCCCAAACCCCAAAATGATGTCATCTAATGTCTTGTTTCGTACTCACGCCAAAGGGTTTTAGTTCACTGTCATGGGAGAGTGTGTAAAGCTGCCAATCACTGATTATTTTAATAATCGATTAGTCATCGATTAGTCGACTAATCGTTGCAGCCCTACTACCAACGCCGAGATGTCAACAAAAACAGGTAGTAAGGTTAAATAAAAAACCATCATGGTTTGACTTTACATTCATACGGGAAGCTAACAGCAGGCTACTGGGTGAAAGTCCGGGGTTTGTTTGACCCATCCAGCACCAATTTTTGGGACTTTCCAGCCTCTTATATTACGTTGTGATCGGCAGCGTTTCAAACTGATACCTTCCTGTGTTGTATCATACTGCTGAGACAGGTGGAGTCTGGCCCACAGGCGGCGTATCACACCACCTGGTCAAGTATCATACAAGTGGCTTTTGGCATCAGCGTTTGATGCCGAAATCACTGACAAAGCCAGAGTATTTGACAGCTTCGGAATGGGAGCAGCTGGTTTTTATGTCCTACCACATTACATTACATTACAGAGTTATGCATTTTGTGCAAGATCAGAGCCAGTGTGCACAAATTATTATTGTGACATCATACACTTGATTTATGAGCTATTATTTGCAGGCGCGGGGCACGAGTTCTTGTATAGATATATCTTCCCTGTTATAATTATCCATGTGTCCCCCTCAGGCGCACTGCAAATCCTCGGAGAGCATCATGAGTAAGTCACAGCCTTAATTTTAGTTTGTCTCTATAATTACACGTCAGAGTCTCAGAGCTGCTGTTTTACTCTCTTGATGACAGAAATCTGATCCAGCGGAGGAAGATGATGATGATGACGATGAAGGAGGTATTTTCAGAGTGTGTATTTGTACCTCGAGATGTTTTTCATAGTAAACATTTGAATGTGGCTCCGTCAGAGAGAAGTAATTTAACATTTGATCTCATTATACGAGGATTATATTTTGGCTTTCTAATCTCTATCTGTCTCTGTGAGAGCTGCTTGGCTGACAAAAGGTGAACCACTGTTACAAGTCAACATGTTTACGAAGGCTTTATAAGCTCCAGACCTCCGGACTCGACATATCCTCATACAACGGTTTGTATATCTATCAGATCAGCGACAAATGAATTAGCACCCCGACCATTTCAGCTAGGCTTAACAAAAGAATCATGGTTGGGCGTTTTTATAATACATACTTGATGTAAAGTTACGTTCTTACCATAAAGTTATGTAGGTTAGCGTCAGGAAAGGAAACCTGGTTGGGCATTGTCACATTATGTGCTAAATGTAAAGTTACATATTTAACATTACGTAGGTTAGGTTTAGGGAAAAACAACATGGCTGGGTGGTCTCAAGACATACTTAATGTAAAGTTATAAACTTAACATCAAGTTACGTAGGTTATGTTCAGGAAAGTAAAGTTATGTTTGTTAGGTTTCAGAGAAAAAACATAATCGGGCATCATCATGTTACGGACTTAACTTAAAGCTACAAAGGTTAGGTTTACAAAAGGAATCATGGTGGGGACTGCTTTAAATTTACGAACTGAACATAATATTACGTAACTTCTAGGAAAGTTAAGAAACATGGTTGGGCATCATCACATTACTTACTTAATGTAAAGTTACGTACTTAACATAATGTTATGTAGGTTAGGATTGGGGGGAAATGGTTGGGTGTCATCAAATTACGCACTTAATGTAAAGTTATGTACTTAACGTGACGTTATGAAGATTAGGCTTAGGAAAAGACTTATGTTTGGTGTTGTCACAGGAAAGTAAAGTTATGACGGTTAGCGTCAGGAAAGGAAACATGGTCGGGCATTGTCACATTACGTGCTTAACGTAAAGTTACATAATTAACATACTGTTATGTAGGCTAGGATTAGGGGGAAAAATGGTTGGGTGTCATCAAATCACGTACTTAATGCAAAGTTACAAACTTAAAGTTATGAAGGTTAGGTTTGGAAAAGGAATCATGTTTGAGTATCATCGTGTTATGTAGGCATACTTAAAAGTTACCAACTGAATGATGTAAGTTAGATTTAGGAAAGTTAACTAACGTAGTCAGATGTAGGAGAAAAAACAAGGTTGGTCATTGTCACGTTACATACTTAATGCAAAGTTACGAAACCTTACAGTCTGAAAAAGGAATCATGTTTGGGCATCGTCATGTTACGTTGGTCCACTTAACAGTTACGAACTTAAGATAATGTTATGTAAGTTAGTTTTAAGAAACTAAAGTTCCGTGTGTGTAGGGAAAATACGGTGTTGTCACTTTGCATACTTAACATTACATAAGTTAGGTTTGGGAAAAAAAACATGGTTGGGCATTGTCATGTTTTACTTAACGCAAAGTCACAAACTTAACATAAATTATGTCGGTTATGTTTAGAAAAGGATTCATGTTTGGGCATCATCATGTTACGTCGGCCAACTTAAAATTTACGCACTTTACATAATGTTATGTATTTTAGATTTAGAAAAACAAAACAAGGTTGGGTGTTGTCACATTGCGTACTTATGTAGGTTAGGTTTAGTATTTACTTACGTAAGTAATGTAAAGGTACGTACTTAACGTGATGTTACCTAGGTTAGGTTTATGAAAAAACAGGGTTAAGCATCGTCACATTACGTACTTAATGAAAAGTTACAAACTTAACATAAAGTTACGTGCTGAACGTAACGTGACAACTTACGTTAAAATAACTCAAAGTTCACTTGGTTTCACCTGGGACACAAACACCGGTGTCCTGGGGGAAAGTCGTGTGTTTGTTTGACCCATCGACCCCAGCCTGACTCCTTAACTTTCACTCTTTAATTATTTATTTATTTACTTCTTCCTTCGTTTCTCCCGTCGGGACATTACTCACGTGATCACAGCCTTTACGATTTCGTGGGTTTATACACTTATTCTGGTGCATTATTTGCAGTGCATGAAAACAGCCTGTCAGACTGTATATTCCACATTTGGAGCCTCTGAGTCTGATGACATCACTACGACATCATTTTTCCCAAATGTTGAACTTTTCCTTCAACTGCTGCTTTTACAAATCCCTAAAATTCTGGCTGCATTTTATGATTTCTTATTGATTGTTTTTTTTTTGACTTGATTATTTATTCAGTCTGTAAAAAGTTAGAAAACAGTGAAACAGTCATTTCCTCCAGTAATGTGACTGGCTGGCCCTCAGGTGACGTCATGTTTTCGCTTCACCCCAGTTTATGAGCAGCTCTTTACAAACGGGCCCCGGTGTCTCTCCCCGGTTTGGAGCCTCTAAAAATACCCGGAGGTGTCACCGTGGCTGCGGAGCCCCCGGCCCTGCGCGGGCGGTGATGGGGGGGTCCGGCCTGTCCCCGCCCCGCTGCCCCGCCGCCACCCAATGAGCTGCGGCCCCCGTATCTGTGTCGGAGTCGAGGATGCCCTGGCTGCAGTTGTATATGGTCATGGAGGGGGCATTCCAGGGAGTCCAGCACAGTGACGCCGAGCTTTTTAAACCTCTTATCCACTTGTGCTCCACCCGCAGTCCCGACTCTCTGCAGGCCGCCGTCTGCGCGTCTTTACCCGGGCACAGGAGCGAGTCTGTCCGGAGGAGATAAAAACTTCTTTTCTTTACTTTTCTTTTCTCCTCCTGTCTCCTTCCTTCACATTTGATCCTTCTCTGAGCTCATGACTCAGCCGGACTGGATTAACTGAGTGTGGATCTGCTCTCTGACCGGAGCGCACGCTTTCACTCAGACTTTGGTGAAGTGTGTCACTCCCAGCAGGCTCTGCGCTGCCCCTGCCGCTCCTTTCATTCTTCTCCTTTTCTCTTTTTTTCTGCCTTTTCTTCTCTTCCCACTCCGTGCTATAAAAGGGGGGCACCATGATGAGCAACAGCAGCTACTTGGAGCCGCAGCTGCCGCCGCAGCTCTACCAGAGCACCGCGGACATCGGCGAGGAGGAGGAGGAGATGCCGGCCACCGAGAAGGACCTGGCCGAGGACGCTCCGTGGAAGAAGATCCAGCAGAACACCTTCACCAGGTGGTGCAACGAGCACCTGAAGGTCATCAACAAGCGGATCAACGACCTGCAGAAGGACCTGAGCGACGGGCTGAAGCTGATCGGGCTGCTGGAGGTGCTGAGCCAGAAGAAGATGTACAGAAAGTATCACTCCAGGCCCAACTTCAGACAGATGAAGCTGGAGAACGTCTCTGTGGCGCTGGAGTTTCTGGAGAGAGAACACATCAGGCTGGTCTCCATCGGTGAGTGACGCACAGCACACACGCGCCGCTGCTTGGAGAGATTTTACGCACATTTTACGCAACAAATCAAACGAACTGCGCTGCGCACACAGTTCAGACTGCAGTGATGAAGATGAGGATGAAAAAAATGGCTTTGTCT